CTCCTGTTTTCAGCTGCCCAAGCGCTGGGATTATAGGCATGCACCACCTTGCCCTCTTAGTAGCATGCTTCTGGGAGTGGGGCTGGCACAGCACACATCAAACTGTGGTCCCCTGAGCTGTCAGGCCGGCCCTGAGAAAAAAGTTTTGCAGCAGCTGTTCATATGTTAAAAGTTTTTCTTAGGGTTTTTTATTTTAGTCTTTTGACTATTTTAATTTCTTGTCCCAAAGGGGGTCCCCATGATGTTCGTGATGTGAACCTCAGGGCCAAGCTGATGGGGTACCCAGTGCTTGGTTGGGCAAGGGGCAGAAAAGGGTACACTGTGTGGTCTATTTCTTTGCAGAGTGTCACCCCACCCAAGAGGTGCATGCTGCGGGAGCGAGAGGTGGCCCCAGAGGCCGTGTCCCGGCTGCAGGTAAGGTGTCCCGCAGGGATGCTTGCACGGGTGCTACTTGCTGGTTTCTGGCCTCAGTCCCTAAGCTCAGAGCCTGTGCGGCCCTTTGTACTTTTCAAGGAAATCTTCCTTTTCCCAGAAATTGAAGTCCCTTCTGTGCACCTCTGGGCTGTCTCCCTCCCTTGAGCACCACCTTTTGAGGTCCTGGGTTGGGTGTGGTTGGCCTCTTCTGGGAGTGTGATTGGTCCTGGTGCCTGGTCTTCGGGAGGGAAGGTATGCAGCTCCTATTCCTCCTTAGCATCTGCTTGTGCTGTGCTCAGGAGGCGTCGGACCCTTGGCAGAGCCTGGACCCCTTCGACTCCCTGGACTCTAAGCCCTTCAAGAAAGGTAACTGGGAATGGCTACCTCTACTCAGGTCTGCTGACCAGGTTTGCTGGGGTACAAAGTAGTGGGATATAGGTGAGGCTGACACCCTAACCCATGGCTGCTCTTGAGACAGCCTCTGTGCCTCAGGTAAGCCCTACTCTGTGCCCACCTGTGTGGAGGAGATGCCAGGACAGAAGCGCAAGAGGAAGGGTGCTGCTAAATTACAGGACTTCCACCAGTGGTACCTGGCTGCCTGTGAGTGGGGTGCCCCCCGTCCGCCTGGAGGTAGAGGCCAGCACCCTGTCCTGATGCTGACTGCAGCCCCTACTGGTGAGGGGTGAGGGTCTTGGCTTGACTTCTGCTGACTTGAGTTATCTCACAGATGCTGACCATGCTGACAGCAGGAGGACCCGGCGAAAGGGCCCCACCTTTGCAGGTGAGGCGAGGATGCGTGTGGATATGCTCGAGGAGGGATCTGTCCTCACTCACCCCTCTGCCCTGGAGTTGCCCAAGGTCTGACCAGACTGGTGAGAGCCAGGCAGGACAGGACTCATGAGCTTTGTCTGCAGACATGGAGGCCCTGTACTGGAAGCACGTGACTGAACAGCTGGAGGCCCTCCGGAGGCTGCAGAGGCGGGAGGTGAGTACCCTGTGCCAGGGCCGGGGACCCCGTGGGCCCGACAGAGGCAATGGTGCCCTCAACAGGCATCTCCCTGGACAGACGGCTGAGCGGTGGCTTCCCAGGGCTGAGGAGGGGCTGTGGCCTGCCGAAGACGACCACGTGGAGGATTCCCTGGAGGACCTAGGGGCAGCTGGTAGGTGCCTGGTGGGGTGGGTGGGTGCAGCACCCCTGCCAGCTGGCTGATGGGCCCCTCCATGTCTCAGCAGATGACTTTCTAGAGCCCGAGGAGGATGTGGAGATTGAGGGAGCAGAACCAGGGGAAGGCCCTAACCTGGGTAGGTCTAGCTGGTGGCTGGTCAGGATGTCCTGAGGCAGGAGCCGTGGGAATGAAGTGGGGGGACAGAGTCCACAGTCGTGACAGCTCATTCTTGGCTCTTCCCAGATGCAGAGGCCTTGAGGTACGAGGAGCTGGTTCGAAGGAATGTGGTGAGTTTGGGTCAGAGGGGTCAAAGAGCTCGGTGAGGGTGCCTCTGGCATCTGAGCAAGAAGTCCTGCTGGTTCTGTCTTAGGAGCTCTTCATTGCCACCTCCCAGAAGTTTGTCCAGGAGACTGAGCTGAGCCAGCGCATCAGGGACTGGGAGGACACCATCCAGCCTTTGCTGCAGGAGCAGGTGATGAGTGGTTGTAACCTGCAAGCTGGAACTGCCTGCCCAGGCTCTGACTAGTGCCTTAGCCTCCCCTCCACCAATGCACCCTCCCGTTTAGGAGCAGCACAAGCCCTTCGACATCCACACCTATGGGGACCAGGTGGTCTCTCAGTTCCCCCAGCTTAACGAGTGGTGCCCCTTTGCGGAACTAGTGGCCGGCCAGCCTGCCTTTGAGGTGTGTCGCTCCATGCTGGCCTCCCTACAGCTGGTGAGTGGCCCTAGGACATAAAGGTGGGGGAAGTGATCGCTGGACCCTACTGATACCTTGTCCTGCAGGCCAACGACTACACAGTGGAGATCCGACAGCAGCCGGGGCTAGAGGCAGCTGTGGACACCATGTCTCTGAGACTGCTCACACACCAGCGAGCCCACAGGCGTTTCCAGACCTATGCAGCCCCATCGATGGCCAAGCCCTGAGTGAGGAGCAGGGTGGATATGGGAGTGAAGCATGTCCAGAAGCCTGTGTGTCAAGGGGCTGCTTGTTTTATTGTCTCCTGGCTGGTCCAGCTAAAATAAAGTGGAGTTATCGTCCTACCTACCCCTTTTTTTTTTTATTTATTTTTGGTATAACTAGGGATTGAACTCAGGCCCTTGTGCTTGCCAGGCAAGCACTGTTCTACTGAGCTATCTCCCTGGCCCCACCACCTACCCCTTGAACAAAACAACAACCTTGAAACGTGTTCTGGAACAGATTTCACACACACAGAGACACATGTGCTTGGTGCAGATTCAATACACAGGTGCTCCCTGTTTAATGACAGGGCCTGGGCTACAGTGGGTCAGGAAAGAACACTTTGGAAGGCAGCCATGTGCTGCCGTACACTGCCCACGATCTGCTCTGCTGACCTTCCCCGACCATAGTAGTCAGTGAAGAGGCCATCAGGGCTGAGCAAGTAGATGGCAATGGAGTGGTCCACGATGTAGTCCTGGTCCGCGTCCTTGGGGCCAGCACTGTAGTACACACGGTAGCTGCGGCTGACCTGGGCCACCTGTTCAGCAGAACCTGTCAGGCCCAGCAGCCTCGGGTGGAAGTCCCGCACGTATCGGGCCATGGCTGCAGTGTCATCCCGGGCAGGATCCACGGTGATGAAGATGGGCTGCACAGGGTGTGGGCCAGGATGTGCTTCCAGCTGTTGTACCACCTGCACCAGCTTCTCCAGCTCATCAGGACAGATGTCCGGGCAGTGTGTAAAGCCAAAGTACATCAGCACCCACTGACCCCGGAAGTCGGCCTTGCAACGGATTTGGCCGTGGTGGTCCAGCAAGCTGAAGTCGCCCTGGCCCACGGCTGCCTGGCGCAGGGCCTCTGCCCGACGTTGCTGCCGCTGCCGCTCCTTCTCAGCCCTGGCAGCCAGCCAGGCCCCACCCAGCCCTGCCCCAAACAGGGCAGTGATCAGGAGCCTGGTTCGCAGCCTGGGGCCTCCGTGCAGGCCCTGCCGACCAGTCTCTGCAGGGCCCTTTCCTGATGAGTGCAAGGCCCTCTGATGCAGGATTTCGCTTCCCAGGGGCCTAGGGAAGATCTGGGGCTTGAGCTGAGAGAGCCTTGGCCACGCGTTGGGCCCTCGAGCCAGCAGCAACATGGACCTGCTGCTCCTGGAAGAGAGCAAAGGTATCAAGAGCTACAAGGGAGGGAAGAAAAGCGTCCCGGCTCTTCGTCAGGCTCCTCAGCTGCCAGGTCCCCTCGCCCAGAGCTGTGCCTCTGAAGCTGCAAGCTCTAGCTTGGGCGACACCAAGTGTCATGTCCAGCGCCACCCTGCCACTCCTGGCCTTTTAACATGGCTCCCCAGCTGACTCCCCTCATGCTGCCCCACCTATGCATGGTACTGTGAGCTAGTTATTTCAGTAGAAAGCACCAGGTGGTTTGCCAGAACCCTGTGTACATGTACAGACGTGCGAGAAACTCGCTTTCTGAGGGCTGGGTGGTTGGTTTGCAACCACCACAGAGTAACCCTCCCCGGCGCTCTCCACTCTCCCTTCCAGCTCGGCGCTTCCCTTCTGGAAAGGACCACGGGGCACCGAGTCCGGACCGGACTCGAGTCCAGAAGCCGCGTCGCGTCGAGCGTCCCTGACCCTCCCCAGCCGGACGCCCGCGCCTCGCGCCGCGCTCCCGCTCAGGTCCCGGTTGCCCGCCGGCGCCGCCCACACCGGCCGTCGCAGCGCATGCGCCACGGCCGCACAAAGATCACGTGCCCGGCCCTCCCGCAAACCGACCCGGCTACGGGGCTGCTCCGCTTCAGGGTTGTAGGAAGGGCGTCGGCAGGACGAGCTCGGTGAAAGGCGAGGGGGGTGCGAAGGGTGCTCGGTCAGACAGCAGGAGGGCCCCCTGCAGGGCGCGGCGCTGCTGGGCGCTGAGCGCCGGGCCGTCCAGGTGGACGCGGAGCCAGGGCGTCCCTGAGGGGAACGTCAGGGCGCGAGGTTAGGGCGCCGCGCCCGGTGGAGGTGTCGGGACAGCGCGAGGTCCCCGGCAGGGCTCACCGCGGCGCAGTCTCTGGCCCACGTCCACCAGCAGCTCGGCGCCTACCCCCGGTTGGATCTTCTGCCCTGCGCGGCTGCGTCCGGCCCCGAGCTCGTGCAGCACAAGGGCGAGCGGCAGCGCCCGGATGCCTTCCACTGTGCCTGCCGGGAGCGAGCGGGAAGGAAGGCGGGACTAGCCGCAGGCAGGGCCGGGAGAGGGCGGGCGGGCGAGCGACGGAGGGGCGGGGCTGCGCTCACCGTCCCGCCCTGCAAGCAGCTCCTCCTGCTCGCGCGCGCGGGGCAGCAGCTGGCGGCGCTGGGCCGCCGTCCCGGAGCACAGAGCCCGGGCCAGGCCAGGGTCCACGCCCTGCCCCTCGAGCATGCGTTCGAAGCGGGCCTTTGCCGAGCCGTTGTCCAGTACCGTGGCCACCCACGCTGCGCCCTGTGCCTGCGTCTCCGCCTGTCTGCTGAGCCAGAGCAGGGCGCCACCTGCCGCCCGGAGCGGCGGGTTAGCTGGGTGTCCCACGCACAGCCCTGTAGCCTGGGCCCCGCCCTCTGCCCTGCTCACCCAGCTGAACGACCAGGTCCCGCAGGTCCCGCGGCCCCGCGCCATCCAGGCAAAGCAGCGCTTCCTCCACCTCCAGGGCGTGGCCCACGCTGCGGCCCAGTGGGTTGTCCATGGAGGTCAGCGCGGCTGCCACCCTCATCCCTAGGCCTGCCCCCACGCCAACCTGTGGAGGAGGCTGTGTGGACATCTTGTGGCTCTCCCGTGGCCCACCATCATCATACTCCAGCCCTGCCGCACCCTGCTTGCCAGTACCCCCAGGATGAGGTCAGGGAAGACTGGGCTGGGGACCAGAGCACAGCAGTATGCCAGGTAGAAGGATCAGGAGGACCTTTTCCCAGTCTTGCAATGGAGGAGCACCCCCTAGAGGGTTTCTGAGGGCTTAAGCCAGGTCAGCCTTGACTGGGCAAGAGTGGTGGGCAGTGGGCTGAAATGGGGGAGACTGCTGAGTGTGCAGAAGCAGAAGGGTGTGCAGGGTAGGTTAGGCCCAGCAGGGAGAGGTAGGGCTCACCAATGCCCTTGCCAACTCCCGGGCTTGCTCCTGGTCAGGGAAGACTGCGGCCCCACCGTATTTAACATCTACAACCAGAGCAGATATTCCCTCCACGGCCTTCTTACTGAGGATGGAGGCTGCGGGGGAGGCAGAGAGGTCAGGCAGGGATGCTTTGGGATCAGGAGGGGCTGGCCTCCTCAATGAGGACGGCTGTGCTTAGTGGTTGTCAGGCAGGCCACTCCCAGGAATTGGTGGTCAGGCATCTTGTGACAAGGGGATGCTGGCATTGGGGTCAGATCACCTGTGATTGGGGAGGTCCCACAGTCTAGTCACCCATAATGAGAGGGTCCTGGCAGTGAGATTGGGGGTCAGGATGTGTAACATGCAGAAGAAAGTTCTTGGAGTCGGGACAGGTCACCTGTGATGAGTGGCAGGCTGTCCACGGTGGCTGTCACGTCTCGAGCTGCATACAGGAGTCCGTCTGCAGGGACCAGATCTTCACTCTGACCCACGATACAGCAGCCCACTACCTCCAGCAGCATTTGCATCTGGTCAGAGCCCACCCAAAGGTGAACACTGATGAAGGACCCCATCCCTGCCCCTCTCAGTGACTCAGAAAGGCCCAGAACTGTGACTAATGACTATTAGTGACCTAGAGATGATTAAGTTCTCAGCAGTGATTGACTTCTGGCCTGGCAAGGGTCCTGATCAGTGTATGGCTCTTTAATGATTAGCAGCCCAAGTCCCCAGGAATGATCTTGGTCAAAGTTCTGATGACTGATTCAAGTTCAATGATTGTCAACCTTTCAGGTTTCATAAAGTGCCTATCAGTGGTTATGGCCCCTGTCTCCCATAAGCCCCTTGCAAGGACCAGTCTGTGGCCCCCTCATACCTGCTCTGGGCTCTGGATGACACTGAACCCAGGAATGGACTCCAGCTTATCCAGGGTGCCACCTGTGTGCCCCAGACCTCTCCCGCTGATCATTGGCACCTGGTAGGGAGGGACACTGAGTGGGTTCCCAGATAGAGAGGAGGAAATGGAAAGCTGCCTTGCCTGGGGCATGTGTGTGTGTGTGTATGTAGTCCCCATCCCTGGGGGCTGGAGTCTGGGGGATAGAGGAGTACATAGGTGTTCCCTTGGTGTCCTCTCTCGGGTACAGAAGGATCAGGGGATTTCTGTCTTTATACCTTGGTCTTATCCCAAGGGACCAATGTGGGCTTGAGGCTGATCCAAGTTTTTTGTGGGGTTGGGTGGGACAAGTGGGACCTGTATTTGGAGGCTCTGTCTAGGTCAGATTTGAGGTTGGGAGCTGCCTGTAGCTGGCCCGGTTGTGGACTCTTGAATCAAAGCTTCTGGAGAGAAGTGGACTCTAACCTTGCAGCCACATGCAGCCAGGGCGGGTGCCAGGACCAGGCTGACCTTGTCACCCACGCCCCCTGTGGAATGTTTGTCCACCAGCTGCTGGTGCCAGGCTTCTGGCCACTCCAGCTGCTGCCCAGACTTGGCCAGGGCCTGAGTCAGTGCAGAGGTCTCCTCCAGATCCATGCCCCGCAGCCGGATGGCCATCAGCATAGCCCCTAGGTGTGGACACAGGGGAGGGATGTCCCCATAGCATTGGTATTGTTGGTGCTGCTGGTTGTGGTGGGGTGCATGGTGGCATCCCTGGAAGTGGTTGTTCTGTGGGACAGTCAGCACCAGGGTCCAGGTCGGGGTTTAGGGTGCCCAGCCCTCCCCACACACCGATCTGTGTATCCTGTGCACTGCCGTCCACCACCGCACATACGAAGCCCCTGATATCCTCCTCACTCAGGCGCTCTCCATCTCTCTTCCTGCGAATCAGCTCAGGGAGCTGCTTGGGCTCTGGAGGGGGGTCTGGAGGTCCCCGTCCCCCTTCCCCTGAGAGGAAACTTCGTGCAGGGGGAGCCGCCATTGCTCCGGGCCTGCGGGGAGGGAGACATTCTGGGACCTGGCCCAGTTCCGTGTCTCTGTGGTCACACGCACTTGTCCCGACCCTGCTGCGGTGTCTGATGTCCAACCCCCCCCCCCCCCCCCCCGCCCCGGGTCGCTTTCAGTCTCAGCTTCACAACTCGATCCAGCCCGTACCTATTTGCTACGGCAGCCCTCGCCCCTCCGGCACCGATTCCTGATTCCTTCCTGGTTCTCCCGGCTTCGCACGCTACCAAAAACCCCCAGGACTGCGCACGCCTGATCCCCCGCCGCTCGGGGCGGAGTCTGGAAGGGCGCGGCTCGTCTTGCCTCGGCCAATCCCCAGCTGCGGGTGAGCGCAGGCCTTCCCGGCCGCGGAGCTCTCCCCACTGCCCCGGGCGCTCTACGCTGCCAGGCCTCACCCACCGCGCGGACAGAGAGGCGGACACACGGCTGGCTCGGAAACTTTAAATGAAAGCCTGCGGGCAGCGTCCCTCCCCCAGGTCACTTGTCCGCATCGGTCACCATCGGGGCCAGGTAGTCCGAGTGCCGGATCCCGAAGCTCCAGCCGCGGGGCTTCTGATGCTGCGGACCCAGGAGATGCCGCTGACCTCCTGGAGCCCGCGTTTCTCGTCGCCCCGACCCTCGCGGGCCTCAGGCCACGCGCCCCACCCAGGACCGGCAGCCTTGGGGCCACCTGGTTCACGTTGTAGGCCGCAGGCCCGGGCTTGAGCGTGTTGTCCTGGGGGGGCAAAGTCCGCGCCTGCATCGTGAACTGGGGGGCGCGAGCCTTATAGACCCCGGGGTTCACCACGTGGTAGGCACAGGGCCCTGGGCTCTACGGGAGGACAGAGGTCGTGGGTCTGCTTCGTCCCCAGGCCCGGACCCTGAGCCCGCCCCGTGCTCGTGGTGCCGAACCTTGCTGAGGTCCTCGAAGCAGCTGCCCACCGTGCTGCGGCCGTAGATGGAGTAGGTGGGCGCCGAGACCTTGCCGACGACGCGCGGGCCCAGGAGCGAGGGCACCGTGTAGGCCCCCGGGCCTGGGAGGAGCACGAGGGTCGGCTTTCTCGGCCTAAGGGTGGCTGGCCAGGGATCGGGATGTGGGGACTGGGCTTTCCATTCTCACCTGGCGTTTGGTGCCAGCCTCGGACACCCCAGTTGCGGGGTGCGATGGTGTGGCGAGGCGCGCTGGGGTACGTGGCGTTCCCCGAGCGTTCCGGGAAGTACCTGCCTGTGGGACACACCGTGGGTGGGGACCGAGCGTGGATTTTGGGACTGGGACGGGAGTCGGGCCAACCCTGACAAACCCCGTGGGCTTGGGGATTCTGGACTGTTAAGGTCCGCATGTGGGGTGCTTGGATGCCAAGGGGGACCCAGGGCTCAAGGGGGTCTTCGGGTGCCCTCCCCGGGGAGGTCAACGTCCCAGGGGTCCTGACCCGGTCCGGGAGTGCAGAAGGGTGCCGAGGGTCGCAGGCGGCCCTGGATGGAGTAGGCAGGGCAGCCGTCGGTGCCCCGTGCGGTCATGCGGGGCGGCACCAGGTAGCCCGGGCCGGGCCCGCATGTTGTCTGCCCCGCCGGGAGGCGCAAGCCGAAGGTGAAAGCTGGAGCGCGCGGTCGCGAGGGGTCGTGCAGCAGGTAGCCTGGTCAAGGGGCGCCCGACCTGAGCCACTGCTGTCCCGACACTCCACCCCGCCGCTGTCCCCTCCCTCGTAATCTCTGGCTGAATCCCACCCGGCCCTACCCCCCAGGCTGTCCCCACGCTTGCCATCTCCGCGCCTCACCTACCGGTGTTGGGCGGCAGCTTGTACTTGGGCCCTGGGCCGCTGTACAGCGCAGCGATGGGGCCGCGGGGCCGGTGAGGCCGCCATGGCCCAACCCAGACGTCGGAGCCCATAGTGGAGACTGCACCTGAGGGTGGGAGGCGGCGGTGGCTCCGGCTCGGCTTGCCTGGCGGGGCCGCGTATCCCGGGTGCTGCTCGGAAAACAAACCCGGGACAATGGGACTCCAGGGGCAGTTGGACTGGGCCAGGCACTGAGCTCCGCGGCCCTCCCCGGTCTCAGATCCCCAAACGGCACCAAATACAGACCCAGACTTGGAGAAGGGAATTCGGGTTCGGGGTGGGGGCAGGAAGTTGTGGGGCGCTGGGAAAAAATGTAGGGCACGGCCGAGGACACACTGACCTGCTGGGTTGGAGGACAAAACGGGGTAGCCGGACACCTCACCCTACCCCGCCCAGTTCCCAAGCCCCATTGTGTCTCCAGCTGCTTCCAGGCAACCAGACTGTCACACACACCGCTCACCCCGCCTCTGCCGCCGGGAGGGACCCAGGCTGCACTAAGGACCAGAAGGGTCTCACCCTACCGCCAAGTTTGGTGCACCCATTCCAGAGTTAGATCTGCAGACAGAAAACCAGTGTGAAAGGAATATTCAACAGTAAGCTCAATTTGTGTGTGGAGAGAACTTTAAGCTTACAGAGTATTTATTTTCTTTTCTTTTATTTGTGTGTGTGTGTGTGTGTGTGTGTG